TCTGGACCGGTTCAAAAAACAAAAACAAAAAATTGAAGAAACGTTTAGTCTTTCATCAGAAAGAGACTGACAAAGTCTCAGTAGCTGCACCAAGTTCAGTCTTATGAATAGCACATTCTCATAATGGATCAACCAGTTTGTTGTTGACATTCAAAACTAGCTGTTCACATGATCAAGGAGGACCGTCACCCTAACAATGGATTGTTAGCACCCTGATGGCTGCTTGCTATTCACAGGGGGCTGAGTGATACTAGCAATAGTTTATTACATCTCGTTTGGACTACTGTAATTCATTGTATGTTGGTTTAGACAAATCATCTTTGTATCATTTACAATCTGTCCAGAACGCAACAGCTCGTCTTTTAACAGCAACTAAAATACATGAACACATAACCCCTGTCCTAGCTTCTCTCCACTGGCTTCCTGTCCACTTCCGAATTGATTTTAAGATTTTATTGCTTGTTTTTAAAGTCTTAAAAGGTCTGGCCCCATCATATTTATGTGATCTCATTAACATTTACACTCCAGTAAGAGCACTTCGGTCTATCAACCAAATCCTCTTAGATGTCCCCAGATCCAAACTTAAATCCAGAGGTGATCGGGCTTTTGCGGTTGCTGCGCCAAAACTGTGGAACATTTTACCTGAGAATTTAAAGACCGCTTAGACTGATGAGACTTTTAAATCTTTGCTCAAGACTCATCTGTATTCCTTGGTATTTCATCCACGCAGAGTCTGAGAACAAGTTGAGCTGATTTTATTGTTGTTGAGTGTTGTTTTTACTGTCAACTTTTGTTTTTGAGTGGCACTAGATGTATTTTTACTCTTTTCTTAATTTTTAATCTGTCTTAACTGTAAAGCACTTTGGTCAGCTTTTGTTGTTTTTATGTGCTATATAAATAAATTGACATTGACATTGACAATAACAGCATCGTAAGAGGGGGACTGTTGAACACAGAGGTCTCCACCCCTGTTTACTGATGGGTAGTTTCTTTTCACAAAGATGTCTTCATTTACTCCTCTCTCAAACAATCTTTCCTCTTTATCAAGGATGTGAACATCTTCATCCCTGAATGAGTGACCACTGGCCTGGAGATGAGTGTAAACCACAGAGTCTTGGCCTGATGATGCTGCTTTTCTGTGCTGTGCCATCTTTTTGGCCAGTGGCTGCTTAGTTTCTCCAATGTAAGACTGATCACAGCCCTCCTGACACTGAACAACATATACAATATTGTTCGGTTTTTGCCAGGGGACTGGATTTTTGAGATGGACCAGTCTTTGCCGTAATGTGTTTTGGGGTTTAAAAGCCACTGGGATATTATGTTTAGAAAATAAACATTTCAGTTTCTTTGAAACTCCCACAACATATAGAATGACCACTAGTCTGGGTTCCTCCTTTTCACCTGATAGCTACCTTCAGTCCTGTTTGGATTTCTTCTCTGCTTTCAGGAAGGTCCAGTTAGGATATCCACATTGCTCTAGAGCCTGCCTTGTGTGGGTTTTATCCTTCTGGCTGGTTCCTGAGTTAGTGGGGATGTTGTCTGCTCTGTGGTACAGAGTCCTGATGACTCCTAACTTGTGCTCCAGAGGGTGGGCTGGTTTATAGTACACCTCAGATTGCAAATGTCTTCCATCAGAAACTGAGACCTCACAGTCCAAGAAAGCCAACCTGTTATTTTTTTACATCTTCTCATGTTATCTTTATATATTTTTCTACAGAGTCGATGTGATCAGTGAAATGGTGGACTTCTTGAGATTTAATTTTAACCCAGGTGTTTTCAATATACTTAAACCAATGACTCAGTGCTCTCCCTGAAAAGGGCATCATGGCTTTCTTTTCTATCTCTTCCATGTACAGGTTGGCAACAATAAGAAAAACTGGAGAACCCATAGCACACTCATGTTACTGCCGCCATATGTGAAGTAGGTTGACTGTAGGCACAGGTTCGAGTTGACACAGTTGCTCTGTGGAAAGTGTGACCCTTCTGCTCGGAGTGGTGTCTGATTTTAATCTTAAACAGACTACCTCTATTGCCTCATCAGTAGGAATGACATAAAAAGTGATGTGAAAATAAAATGTTAGTGTTAAAATATTTACCATACTTGTAGGACTAATCATTAGCTTACTGGTTATTTGAACAAACATACATACCTTGTGTTTATTTTTCCCATCTAACACAAGCCCCTGACTCTTTAAGTGACTTATCCTGCACAATTTGAACAAACTCCTCCTAGAAATCGGATAGGTTCCAACTTTTACTATTTTTCAGTTACAATTTAAGACAAATGTTTGTCCATTTGCTTTGGATACAATATAAGAGTGAAAATTTGCAAAATTGTTACAACTTTTTATTGTTTCTGTAATTGGGTAAGCTTTTTAACCAATTTTTTTACTTAATTTTGTTGATTTGTACATATATTTTATAGTCCATTTGGCATTTCTTTAGTTTATGTACAACATTTTGACCAAATACTATTTTTTTTTGAAGGGGTTAAATTAATAAACTTGAATTTGGACATGAAATAATCATCTTATATATTATTTTCTTTATATTTTAAAAGAAAAACACTTTTACACTTAACTTGTATTTTTCTGGTGAAATCCTTCCTAATGAGGACCAGGAAGTAGGCGGCACCTTACTATATTTGGATGAAAAGTGTGTGTGAAGCACTGGTTGCAGTAGCAGTAAAAAAACTCAAAGGGGGCGCTATGGGTCACACACACACACAAACTTTGACTGAAAAACATGCGTTATGGGCCAGCCCCAAAAACTTCACAGGCACCTTTAAATAGCTCAAATATTGATTTAAAGCAGTTTCCCTTATGGGGACCTGGATTTTGGTCCCCATAAGGGAACAGGTCCCCATGACGTGACTGTGTAAACAGTTTCATGTCCCCATACCGTAGGGAATACCAGAACAGGTTTGTACACACCCCACACACACACACACACACATTACCTGCTGCTTTTGAGCTTCATCACGCTGCCTACGATATATGGGGCAGCTGTGACTGAGTGGTTAGAGATTCATGAGTCTAACAGCCTCAGGGTAAAAGCTGTTCCTCAGTCTAGTGCAGGGGTCTGCAACCTGCGGCTCTGGAGCCACATGCAACTCTTTGGTCCCTCTGCAGCAGCTCTTTCAAGCTTTGACCAAAACTAACATAAAACTGAATTTTATTGGTTGTTATACAAACAAAAATAAAGCTAGTTTTAGCCGTTTTAATTTTTCAGCTTTTTTTAATTCAACCTTTATTTCTACAGGTTAATCCCATTGAGCCTCGGGGACTCATTTACAAGAGAGACCTGATTTCAACAGAGTGATGACAACAGTGGACAGTTATAAAATAGGCATACAAATTTGAGTCTTTTTTTTTTTTTTTACAAATCAAAACAAAATAGCAACCAAAAGGATAATCAAGAGGAATAGTAGCGAAAAACAGCTGGATTATAAGACGATGTAGAAAACTGAAACAGGAACATGTCTGCACTGGTTCTTGTCATGAACTTATCAGATGTTTGAAGCCACTTAAAGAGGTCAAAGGTCGAGAGCTTCAGGTCTTTTTTACAAGATGTTCCAGGAAACAGGAGCGGAGTAGGAGAAGGTCCTTTTGTCTAGTTCAGTCCTCACTGAGGGAACACTGCAGGTAATGATGTCCTGAGAGCGCACGCTGTAGCTGCACTCACACAGAGACATGTAGGAGGAGATGTATGAAGGCAGCAGACCAGGAAGTGATTTAAAGATGGAAATGTACCAGTGAGAGAGTCTGCGTGAAGTTAATGGTGACCAGTTAACCAGTGAAGTTAATGGTGACCAGTTAACCAGTGCATACTGGGTGCAGTGGTGGGTACGGTAGTTACAGCCAGTTATGAATCTTAGTGCACCGTGATAGACAGCATCCAACATCTGCAGCATCCAACATCTGGTCATTTATTTTGCAAATACCATTAATAGAACTAATACAAGGAATATTTCCTTCTGAAGTCCATGACCATCTCCTTCGTCTTCTTCACTTTGATGCTCCAGCTCTCCAGGTGCTCCACCTCCAACTCGGCAGTAAAATGAACAAAAAGACTCCACATCAGTTTCCGTCGTCCTATAAGACATATAATTTACAGATCTTTGCATCTGTAGGACTAAGAAGTTTTATTCTAGATCGAGGTGGACAACATTCTCCCAGAGGATCAAATCATAATATTTGTAGTAATTGGCACAGATAATTGGAAAATAAATGTTATTTAAGACAAATAATCTGAAAGAGCCAAAACTGTGTCTCTGTTAATCTTGTGGACTATGAAACAGACTTTATGTAATCTGGGTTTTGTGAGCACATATTAGCCTAAATATGAAAAAAAAAACAATAGTTACCTTTTCTTGTTGGAGTCTTTGAGTTTCAGACTAGTTCTTTAAACATTTTAGTAAAGTGTGTATCGTCATCTAAAAATCTTCAGTGTATCTGTCCAAGGTGTTTAATTTAAATTTTCTCAAGTTTCTTTGATAAAACGCAGGTTTTCATCACAACTTTTCTTTTCAATTAAACATTTTGAGGACAAGATGGAGCTGTCCACTTTGGGCCCTCTGGCCATATATTCACAAATTCTCTAAAAATGAGTTCTCATGACTCAGTGAGACTACCTGTATAAATAAAGGCTGAATAAATAAATAAATAAATAAATAAATAAATATTGCTTCTGTTCTCGATGACAATGTGAAGAAAACAAAGTTTCTGAACGTGTTTTCTCTCGTTTCCACAGAAAGCTCCTGGGGAGTTTTCGTCTTCTTGAGACATAAAAACGACTCGTGTCAAAGCTGCCGTGGTTCCATTATAGCAACATTTTACTCCCTGGGCTTGTAATTGAATAACTTCCTCCCTTTAAAAGCAGTTGTACGGTTATTATCTTCTTAGGGCCCCATTTGTGTGGAGTGGCACTTAGAGCAGGACAGTTAAAGGCCTAATTTCATTTTTGGAATTCTTAGTCATCAGATTGGCCACTGACGACCAATGTCACTGCTGCCGCCCGCTCGTGATGATGGCGGGCTCCTGACTGATGACTTCTTGTGTTTCTCTATTGGCAGGCTTGTGCTCATCAATGAGGTCACCATGGAGCGTGTGCACGGCGACACTGTCAGTGTGTGAGCTCATTTAGCACATTCTCAGTGTTTGAAGGGGAGGGGGCACCGGGATGCTGGAGATGGAAGTAAATATGGATGAGACTGATGGACTGCCAGCAGGAGCTTATTGTCCCGGCTGATCTGTGCCGCCCAGTTCAAACCTGCTGGTTTGACTAGGTTGGACCAGTGGTTCCTCTTCACCTGTGAGGAAAGCTGCGAGGTGTCTCAGTCAAACTCTGACGAAGCTGCAAACAAATGGGACGTCTCGAACACGTCCAGCAGCTTCCATGAAGAACTCATCACACTATGTATTTAATAAATAAAAAACGGACACGTAAACAGATGTGGTCACTTTTAAAGTAAAACTAAGATGAAAATGTTCCTAACTTTCAAATGAATCGACACACTTTACTGATTCAGATCAACTCACGGGGAGATCAGTGTGCTCTAAAGAAATAACACATAAAGTCACTAATTATTGCTCAAATTAACAACAGTAAAGTAAAGTGTGTGGAACGACCAGCTTCGTTTGCTTATTGGCTTCGTCCAGTTCTTGTTTTCTACCACACATTAAAGGTTCAGCTGCTTTAGCTTCACTGACTGTTGCCATTTGTGCTTCAGCTTGTTTAGTTTGCATCAGGTTTGGTTCAGTCGAACTCGTTGCAGGCAGCACGGTGGTGCAACCGGTACAGCTGCTGACTCTCAGTGAGCAGGTCCCCGGTTCAAATCCCGGTCCGGGGGCCTTTCTGGGTGGAGTTTGCATGTTCTGTCCGTGCTGGGTGGGTTTTCTCCAGGTACTCCAGTTTCCTCCCACAGACCAAAAACATGCATGTTAGACTGATGGTAACTCTAAATTGTCTCTAGGTGAGAGAGTGAATGGTTGTTTGTCTCTGTGTCCCTGTGATGGACTGGAGACCTGTCCATGGTGTCCCTGATGGACTGGAGACCTGTCCATGGTGTCCCCCACTCACACAGTGACTGCTGGACATGGGCACCAGTGACCCCCTAAAAGGAAGAAGCTGTTCACTTACGGATGGCTTGATGTTTTTGGTCCTCAGTATCTGACTGAAGGATGTACAATATTCACTGTTGGATAAAAATATTCTCCATTTGTTATTTACTCGCAGAAGTCACACTCAAGGACACAAGAAGATTTTAACTGGTTTGACTGGAAAGAGCAGACATTCACCACAGATGTACAGAAGTTACATCATGGAGCCGAGTCAGGGGAATCTGCCACGAGCAGCGTGTGAGCTTTGTTTTTATAACCTTATCAGCGCTCAGCTCACAGACAGCCTGATGACCTCGGCCACCCAGCTCCACATGCAGGATCAAGTCAGCTCCTCATCCAGCTCTCTCTCATCCAGCTCTCACTCATCCAGCTCTCTCTCATCCAGCTCTCACTCATCCAGCTCTCACTCATCCAGCTCTCACTCATCCAGCTCTCATC